ACATCTATGAAACATCTATGAATTCATTATACTTTGCTTAGGGATAAAGTGAACTATACAATTTACAGTTATATTCCTTGTAAAAGTATATAGAAAATATCATTCTTAGTTCATTGAGTTATTTAGGGATGTATAATACAAGATGTATATATTTTTGATTTACCAGTGAAAGGGAAAATTTCTTTATTGTGTGAGTTATTTTTGTACCATGTTAAAATATCACAAAAAATAGATATTTGAAAAAAATCCCCACAAAAACCTCTAATGAATGCATAAAGGTATATGGAGCTCATCTTAGGGACATAGTGGAAAGGGTGAGGTTAGGGAATGCAGACTCAGGGCAATAATTATATGATGGCTATAGATGGCAGGAAACAAAATAGAGTAGGGAGATCTGTAACTGTCAAAGCACACACTTTCAAAACCTAGGAAAGATTCTAGTATCCCAGAGTGCCACCCTTCTGCTTCTGCCAGCAAATAGCCATGAAACCCAGTGACAGAATTTCTCTCTCTGGGTTTCCATTGTTTATAAGGTTGGTTTTAAACAATGTTTTAAAAGAAGATTAAGATTGCGAAGTAAACATTGAGAATTAAGGTTGCCTGTAAATCTTATTTCATCTCACCTGGTGCATAAGTTTTATAGTCATTTATTGTTAATTAAATGGTCTCACACGATTTTTTTTCAAAAGACCCCTATGTCATTCAATGCATAGTGTAGATGATGCCCAGGAATGAAGAAGAGCTGGCTGGCAATTAAGAATATTGGAAGGTGGTTATTGAACAAGAGAGGATTGCAGGAATCTCCCATTGTAACAAAGTTCCCTTGTGTAACACTAATCGAAAAATTTAAACTACTATGTTCACAACTCTGTGATGTGTGTTCCTCATTTTGTCAATGTCCAACTTGAGGTGAAAGTTGCATCAGTTAAAGGTACAATGGTTTGCAAAAATACTGTGCACTTGTAACTTGGACAGAAATTAATGGGAACTGTGCATGTGCCAGATCCTGTTCCACCTAAGTACATTTCTACCCTGCTCAAGCCCCTGACAAACCATTGAATCATCTGCTCTGCTGCATAACTTCCAACTTTGAATCATCTACTTTGCAGCATAATTTTAAGAGTACATCATAAAAAAACAGCTACATCTTTTTTATTCAGTTTTTCAGGGACTTGCGTGGTGTGGAGTAGGGACACACTTAGTTGTCTCTGTATCAGTTAATAGATAGAATAGTATCGGATTCATAATGTTTTAAATAATACTAAGTACTCTGAAAAATCAGGTCAGGATTTTTCAGATCAAGCCTCCCAAAATCATCACAATTTTGTAATTCATCTGGAGGGTTCTATGAACTTGCTGTGGGGGGGGGTTGTAGGAAGAAGTATGCTTTAGTGCACTTATGGAGCCTGTATCAAGAGGGCGGTCAGGGTTTCTGTGCTCTCCCCTGCCGCCTCCTTTACCGTGCCAGGTTGCTGACAAGCACCCTCAAATCCTCGCCCGCCACGAGTTTGATGTCATATCTATTTTATAGGGAGGCTGCCTTTCATCCTCTTATCCACGGTTCTCCTGTTATCACTAGTTCCTCTCCTGTATTGGGTGTTCTGTACACCCCAGCCTTATGGGCTATGCGTGGCTCCAACCACCCCTTATACCACACCCCAAGCCTTGCAAATGTAACTGACGTTGTTCGGTCTCTGGCGCTCGGGCTCTCTGCAGCCCTGTCTCTCTCTCCGCGCCCTCTCCGGTGCTCAGGCTCTCCACGGCCCTGTCTCTCTCTCCGTGCCCTGTCTGGCACTCGACAATCACGGCCCCCTTTCTGGGGCTTTTCGCTGCCCCCTCTCTCTGGGGCTTCTCAAGTGCCCCCTCTCTCTGGGGCTTGGGTCAGTGTACCCCGAATGCTGTGCCCTCACTGGCGCTGGGGTCCCCACACTGCTGTGAGTCCCCTATGAGGCCTCCTCCATCCCCTCTTAGCCTCACCCAGACCACCCGTAACAAACAGCACATGAAACATAAGCCCCTGGGCTACAACGCAAACTCCAGCTATAACATTAATCCAGCCACCCCTAGGGTGCTCCATCCTTTACCAGTCTCACTACTGATACATTCAGGCCTCTTCCCTCTGCTTGCACAGGCAGGGCTCCTTCCTCCTTGTCTGTCAGCAGGGAACTGCCTCCTGCCTGTGCTTTGTATAGGAGCCAGGCCCTGCCCCTTCTTGTCAGCTGGCTAGGCAGGTGTGGGGCATTAGTTCCCTCCAGTTGCCTCAGCACCCAGCACCTGAGGGGTTATCCCAGCTCTCCAAGTAGCAGGCAACTTTGTGCCCTGCTACAGAGCCTAATCTCTGTTAAACATAACTAGAAAAAACTCTTTAGAGTTGGGTGAAGGAAGAATAGTGCCTCATAAATGACTCTTGCATCTTCCATGCATACAATCCTTGTTCCTCTATGAACTTTCAACCATATTCTGGTACAAGGAGGAGGTGGTTGCTAGGGGGTGTGCAAAATAGGCCATATTTGATTCAGATTTGGCCCGAATCAAAGACAGTGATTCAATTCGTTGATTTGGATCACTGTCCCCAATTTGATTCGGCCAAATCTGAATCTGAAGATTTGATGCTGATTCGGAGAATCAGCAATTCAGCCATAGACACAGCTTTCTATGGTTTTTTTTTTATATACCTCAAGGTACCAGGTGCAGCTCATGAATGCTGTGATCCTGGGACAGATGGAGCATCCCACAGGAGTGCAGGGGGGGCCCCCGCATGCTTGGCATCAAACCCAGAAGTGGAATGGAAGTATTTCTGGTCCACTTCTGGATCCACCAGGGAACACAATGGGGCCCTGCTGTGCCTCCCCAGCTCAGCAATCAGCTGTGGGGCAACCCCGGGTGCCCCCCTCAGACCCAGGAGGCATCAGTCACCAAGCCAGGGAGGAACAGGGGGTTCCCTGGCATGCCCGGCAGACCCAGAAGTGAACCGGAAGTGCTTCTGGTCTACTCCTGGGTCTGCTGCCGAGTACGCTGGAGAGCACCTCCCCACTCTCCTGTGGGATACTCCATCTGCCCCACCATCACACCATTTACGAGTACCGTTATGTAACCATCACTAAGGTGCCAGTTTAGAAACCTTGTAACTTAATGTACCACGCTGTGAACTCCGAAGAACAGTCATTTAATATCCTAATAATGCTGATTTGTACAGAACTAAAATAAACACTCTCCTCCCCTAATTTCTAGATCTCATTTTACCCTTTCAGATTTCCTCTTTCCTTCCAAGACACAAAGAAGCTACTGTCATTGAAAGACAAATGATAGAGTTAGAGAGAGAATGCTAAAAACAGAAAAGAGCGTATAATCACAGCATAAGAAATTTCAGACACTTCAGGGGATATCAGTTTGAAACAAACTTGAGGAAAGTGCATTAAAATGGGTACAGAGAATTAGACTCCTGGTAGATGTTCAGTTAAAGGTGCAATGAGACCTGAACCACGATCCCAAAAATCGTGCTGCCTGCTATGCTACTTGTGCATGGCAGGAGACACAATTGTGAGATCAGAGATCGTATCCCAGTATAACCACATTGTGGTTCAGGGAGAGCCCAGAATCATCATTGCCAGCAGGCTGGGTACCTGGTGCCCTCATGGCTGGGTGTGCCAGTCAGCTGACTCAGGCTCCCAATTGCGGGAACACATGGAAGCTGTTGGCTTTGTTATACTCCTGTAGCTGGGCATTCCAATCAGCTGACTGGGGCTCCCAGTTGTGGGATCTAGCCTGATTAAAGGGCTCAGATGACTGAGCCCTCAGCTGCAGGAGTGCATCCAAGCCCTTAGGGCTGACCACAGTTTAAATTTACGGCATGATGGGAACCATCCACAAAGTTAATTTGTGTATTATTCCCTGTTTTATTGTGCCATTAGGTGAATGAACATGTGGCTGGGTTACTACTACTTAAGTGTAACATCTGCTAGGGGCCTTATTTTCTCATTTTCAGTATGTTTATTTTGTTATCATTAAAACACCATCCCACTACAGGAGGCATGCAAGTTTTAATAGGCAACCAGTATTGTTAAGGAAAATTCATTTTCCAGGCTGTGCAGTTTTTGGGATGGAATCCCAGCCTCACAGAAGCCAATGAGAATGTTACCACAGACCAATCAGTCAAAAGCTGCATCCATAGGTTATTTGTTATTTAAAGTCATTTTCTGGCTTGTGTATCAAGAAAAAAGGAAATATAAATGTATAGAACTCACAAAACGAGTTAAAGATGAAAATAAAGAAATTATTAGTGACTGATTATCTAGGTTTTGTAGTTTGTTTTGATTTGTTCATTTTAGTAAAAATATCTACATTGACATTAAATAAATTTTACATTTCTTTAAATGTAAAATCCCTTTGCATTGATTAGTCTATTGATAGCTAGTAAATAGAACCGTTAGGGATGTGTCCTCTAACATCCCTAAACCACTTACGGTTGATGCCAAGGAGGATACATCAGAGGATGCACTACATTAGACATGCCATGTATATAAACTTGCACTCTGAAGACTGGGCCAGATGGATCATTGGTCTGGTCCAATATGGAAAAGCTTCTGTTCTTATGTTCTTGTGTGTTTTTAATACTGATTTTTTTTTATTTGTCATGTCTTGAAAAATATGGAAAAATGGAATGCTAACAACATGTTTGAAATATGACAGTGCAGTGACCTACCACTGAGCTAACAAAATCTAAACTAGAGAGGAAAACAAGCTTAGGTCTTCATCAAAATAAACCTCCCATTTTCATACAGTTCTACATCTCAGTTGTATTTACATCTATGCTTCCCATTTACTGGTTTTGGCTGTTAAGCAGAACAAGGCTTCCTAACTCACTTATTCTTGAATTCAAATGAGAAATCGTTACATCAGGGCATGACTGTGAAAGATGGAAAACAATTATCCTGTTAGTTTTCTACTGGAAAAATGTTATTCATGGTTAGTCCAACTAAATTTCACTCCTTTGTTTTCAGGTCTCTGTGGTCAATCAGTTGGATATGCAAGTCATCGTTTCTAATGTTCCTCCAACTCTCGTGGAACAAAACAAGGATCAGCTTATAGGGTAATGAATTTATTTACTCTAGAACTACCACATGCACAATCTCATTTTGGAATTTAGATTCAGCAAGACTGATCATATATTAAATGCTTATATAGAGATTATATGAATAGAAAATAAGCAATCAAGTATCTGGGTATATGGTTGTATAAAAGTTGGGACACTGACGTGTTTAAAAGCACATTTGCCAAATGGCAAAAATGCATAATTAAAAATGTTTTTTTATATATGTTGGGCAATATTTTTCTCTCCTTTTCTTTATACAGCATTGTTGATTCTAAATGTGACCTCATTTGGGTTTTATGGATGCACATGATGATAGAATTTGGCAAATAAAATATGACCATTTGGTTAATATTCAATCCATATTAAATTAATACGATTGCATTCGTTCTTATACACCAATAATGTTATTCTTAGTGGAAAAATACAATATTAACCTTATCGAGTGCCATATGAATATACTAGCTATAAATGGCAGAGAAAAAAGCATGACAAATTGAAATGCTTAAAGTTTTGTGACAAAACTGGAGTGTGTGTTTTTGGTTGTATTGAAAACAGTCCAAAATCTTTTTGTAAGACGTTTGTTAATATGCCTCGTATTTCAAACATCCAGTAATCTCCACAGTGCTAGGATTTCATGTTTAGTTTCTCTTTGTTATTCAAGAAAAAAAATATTTCCTTTTCTGTCTTTACATTGAAATGTCTAAATAAAAAAGAAAATACTTTTGCTTCTAGTTTAGCTTCTCCCATGAAACCAAGAAGAAAATACTTTTTGTCATTTATTTTTTAAAAGATCTGAAGAAAAACTGAACATTCTTAACTTTTACTTCTGTATCAATTCTTTTAGTCAGTGAGGCATGATATTCAATAGATTTCAAAAGTTTCCTTCCATCTTGGCTGTCATCATAATCTTCTTCACCCTTGAGATTGAGATGTATTTGGAGTGATGATATGTTTCTCCCCTGCAAAGGCATAGCATTTTCTCCAGAATGCTTCTTGTCTTCACTGGGCTGGGGGAAAAAAAAAGTATATATAGTCACATTTGATATTTTCTTACTCTTCACTATGTTCTGCACCAGATATAACTAAGTTGCCAGAGTCTAATGTCAAAAACCCTACTTTAGGTGTCTAGGCAATAGTCTATATTCACAGTGACTTTATCTCCTGGAGCTATGAATAATAAAGGTAGAATTCTATTTGTCTAAGAACTTGCTTTCAGAAAAGTGTCAGTCTTTGGCATTGTCTACAGAGATAAAAAGTTACTTACCCTTCATTGTTAGTGATAGGTTATATTTGACTCACCCTTACTAAGACTTCATGTTCACCTTATCAAGATGTGCCTTACACTAATTGTTTTTAACAAAATTTGAGCTTCTCTCATGAGGGCTGGCTAAGGCCTTTTCACAGCTGCCACTGAGCAGCAGCAGTGCTCCAAACCTCAGAAACTGCTGTTTTCTGCAGGTCTTAACTCCGACATTTTGCTTCCAATTCTAGGTATGTTTCTTCATTGGGATTAGTGAGGGGGTACTTAAAAAACAGATTACAGCTATCTTCCTCAGTTTTTCTGCTGGGAAAATTCTGCCTAGCCAGATCTGAAGTTGTCAGATAACCTTTATGCTGTTCCTCCCTTTTTGCATGTCAACAATGGTCAGGAGGATTTGTGAGAATTTCACCTATATAATCCAGATTATACCTAGAATTGATGCATTAGGGAGCATCTACACATGCATTTGATCTGGGACCAGTTTACTCACAAGTAAACTACTAGCAAGTAAATGCTCCTGGGCAGGCATTTACGCATGCAGAGAAGCGAGAGCAGATTTGCTGCTAATGGTGGAAAACTGCTCCTGCTTCCTGAGCTGTAATGTCCCAGCCCCAGCTGTCTCCTGGCTGAGGCTAGGACATTACAACCTGCCCGCAGGGGCTGCCTGCTGCCAGGGTTGGGATAATGTCCCCCTGCCCTGGCAGCAGGGAGAGACTGGACCTGGCTCCCCAGTCAGGGTTGGGGCACTTGAAAAGAGCTGCAGGGGAGGGGCAGGTCCCAGCCCTCTACCACGATGCACAGCTGGGGTAGCTAACAGCTAGCTTACTGTTTGCTAGCAGCCCCACCAGGTTGGGGGGGGGCAGCCCCATGCCTTGATCACTCGATCAGCATGAGCATGGAACTGGGCAGGGAACAGCCTGGAGAGCTTGTTCACTGTTCAGCTCTGTGCTCACAGAGATGAGTGAGGAAGAAGTTCCCCAGCCTGTTCCCTGCCCCTACCAGAAGGGAGCTCCCAGCACCAACACCACAGGGCCAGCACTGGGACACCTTTATCTCCCAGTGCCAGCTCCACAACCATGGAGCTGCTGCTGGAAGATAAGGATCTCCCAGCCCCCCCACCCCTTAGTGCAATGGCAGATAAGGATCTCTCAGACCCTGTTCCCTGATCGCAGGGGGAGAAGGGGACTTGGAGGTCTCAGCTGCCAGGGCAGGGGGACAGAGCCCACCCCAGCAGCAGGCAGTTCCCAGGGGCAGGGAGAAATCTCTCATCCCCTGGTAGATGGCTGCCCAGGAGCAGATTTGCTCCTGGTCAGTCATCTACACAAGTGCTACTGTGCTATTACTAATCAAAAATAAATTTGCTACTTGCATTTTCAGGTAGCATATTTATTTACAGTTAGTGAGGTTTACTGTGTAGTAAGCATGTGCATGTGTAGACTCACATGTTTACTTCTCAGTAAACTACGCTAGCGCACAGTTAAGCATCTCATGTAGACACACCCTTAGAGTAGGTATAATGATAAAATATGGAGTCAGGTTTTGAACCTTAAAAAAGACTTTAGAAAATGACTTTAGAAAATGTCTTTTGTACTTTAAAAAATATTTTGATTTCAGTAATTATATCTGCCAGAAAAGTGAAATAATGCAAACATAACCACCATATTTTTAATTTTATGCATAAAGGGTCAGCAACATTTTAGCAGTGGTCTATTGAGGGAAGAGAGCATGATCCAAAGTTAGCTGCTGCTGCCATTTCCCCAACCACTGCATGTTGCCACCAATTCCCACTGCCTCAGTGGGCTGGATAACATTCCTTGGTGGGCTGAATCTAGCCACAGGCCATAGTTTGGACAGGATATTCACACTGATTCTGGAAAAATGTGTTATGAAAAACTTCTAAAGAAATGGATTTTTTTTCAATCCAAATTACTCATTTTATTAAACATATTTTTACAAGGCACAGCTGGGACCTCACTAAAAAAACTGTAAAAGTTGCAGATCTCAAGAACTATGTGCAGGTATTCAGCAGAAAATTACAGTTGGAAGTATATTTGTGTGACCATCATAAAATTGCTTGGATTTTCCTCCTCTTGTTTATAATCACCAAGTCAAGACTGAGAAATATTATCAGGTGATGTTGATCAACTAGTACCATAGAAACCCAATCAGAGCAAATATTTTTTAATTTTTTTTCTAAAGTGGTTTGGTTTTGTTTTGTTTTTTGGGGGGAAGGGGGTTTGAACAATTTAAAACATGAGAAAATGTATATAAATCATAAATGAAAAAAAGGATGTTTACTTTATAAATTATTCACCACAGAAGTTGCTTCAGCTCCTTTTTGCAATAAAGTTAAATGTAAATGTTAAAACTAAAAGGTATGAAAATAGGATACTTAGTAATTATTATAATGATAATGATTTCCATGGTAAAGAAACATAAAGTGCTCACAGCCTATAAAGAAATATATACTTTTAGTCTCAAATATGAGATGTTGATTCAAGATGTACTTTGATAAGCAGCTTGAATAAAGGAGGCATTCTATACAGGGAGAGATTTAAAATTTTTATTCTTTCTATTTTGTATTGTAGTGTTGGCTTCTCCAAAAGAGATAAGTAAAGTACCTTTAGCTGACATTTGCGATAGTGTCATGATCCTCTAAAGTCATTCAATAAGCACTACAGACTTCCCCTGACTACTTCAATTTCATCATCCAGCTTTCCATATCCTTTAGTCTACACATCAGTGTTGAATTCCCCATTGTATTCACCCTCTTCAATTAAGGCTATTTGCCTGGGCCTACTCCATCAATGATGACAGAAAAAATAGGTTTATACTTACTGGAGAAATCAGTATATATTTGTTTCTAAAGGAAAATATATCTGTGTCTTATAGACACAGTTAGCAATATTAAAGTCTGTTTTCTAGTTTATTTAATATATGCAGTTTGTTGCTTTATAAATACTGTAGATTCTTTAAAAGGTTGTGCATACCAATTTGTATAAAATAACCAGCCTCAATCTCAGTCACACATGGATATGTATTTTATTTTTCATCACTCACCTGTCATTTTACTCTTTTGTTTACACTGGGTGTCTCTACACATGCCCCGACAGCACCACTGTTACTGCACTGTCATTTAGTAATTCCTTTTGGAAGTACGTAATGATGGCGCAGTAACAGCACATACTGCACCATGCACAATTATTTTTAGCCGCTATACTACCATAACAACATGTTCTAGCAAGGGAGCATGTTGTTACAGCGACATAGCTATGGCATCGCAGTTTGTGCCCTCCAACACTACATCACCATAGCGCAATTGCTACAGCAGTGTAGCGTCTTATGTAGGCGTATCCACTTAGAAATAGATATGCCAGACTACTGTGGGTGAAGATGTTCTTACATTACCTGCAACCAAGAATTATTGGATTTATCATGTAAAACAATTCTCTTGACAATTTGCCTCTATTTTACAGGCCTAAAATAGAAAACCAAACAATATGTAGAATGAGTGAAAATTAAAGCTTGTTGAAATATTGAAATAATAATTCTTCTAGTCAATATGTGCTTGGTTTTCAGCTCATCAAAATTTACAAAAACTGACAGAATGTTTCACTTTCTTATTATTAGGTTAATGGGAAAATTTGTGATTAAGTTTATGCTATATATTTGAATACTGGTTGGGTTAGTAGATGCAAATTGCTAGTTGATATGTGTTCTAAATTTCTGATTAACT